GCGGGTGAAACTGCGCGGAAGTAGGTAGTAGATAAATAAAATTGGAGTTTCTGTTTGTAATATTAAAATAACCGCTTTTTACTACATGTATATGAATATACATTCGATACACATACCAAAATATTTTTTTTTACAATTTTTATCTGTCTTTCTGTTTGTACTGGCTAATCTCTGGATGGGTGGACCGATTTTGCAAGACTATTATTGGCAGGTAGCTGATATACTAAGAAGTAATATTGGCTACTTTTGTTTTGGAAAATTGAAACATAAAAAAATGTTATGTTCTAAAATTCATATTCTACGCGGACAAAGTCCGGGCAAGGGCAACAACTAGTATAGAGGTATAATACGAACTCTCGTATTTTTTTGTAAAAAGATGCACAGAAACCACTACAATCATTCAACAGGTAGGTTATTTAACTTTAAATTTAACTTTCATCACGTTGACGCATTTAAGTTTTGAAGTAGTCATATTTACCATGACTTTCAAAAGAGTTTTTCTTCCCTAAAATATGCCTACATACTTGTGATACATCATACATCTGTAAACGTCAAGTGTAGGTACGATACGATATACTTGGGGTACGGTATCCGCTTACAATCGTCTTGATAGACTGCGCTGATCCATGAGCGGCACTGACGACATATCATCAAGACAAGTGATCCATCTTACTATTTGCTTATTTAAGCTCTCCTTTTATCCCATAATCATTGGGATCATTTCTCTTTTTTTATGGCATAAGCCGGTAAACGAGCAAACGGATCACCTGATGGTAAGCAATCGGCGTCGCCCATGACCACTTGGAACACTAGAGGCGTTACAAGTGCGTTACCGGCCTTTTGGGGATTAGGAATTTAAGGATCGTTGGGGATTCAGGGATTGGGGAGATTGGGGAAGGGGAGGGTAATTGGGCCTCCGGTAACCTCACTCACACGACGAAACATAACGTAAGCGTTGCTTCACGTCGGTTTTCTGTAAGGCCGTGGAATCACTCCGGTCGAGCCGGCCCATTCGTGTCGAAGCATGGCTTTCCCACACTTGAACTTTGACTTTTCTATGTTCAGTCCTATTTAATCTAAATCTTCTTTTGACACAATACAGAACAATGTGAATACACAGATTTCTCCATAGGTACTGTCCTAATCCTCTCGCCCTCGATAATCCCCAATACACCCAAACATTGGCTATTCACAGAAACATGATTCTAACTCTCTAACGTCAATTTTCGGACCCTCAACTTTTGGCACCCCAAAAAAGCATTAGAAGGTGTGACGTAAGCAAGGGAAGGTTCAACGAACTTTCATCCCTTATAAAGTAAACACGAGTCAATGACCTTGCAATGAGGGTTAGAAATTTTGTTAGATACTGTGACGTCACGGTACTATGGGTATAGAAAAAAATTCGACTGCGGTCGACGGTCGTGTGCGTGTCCTTAGGGATACAAGTTGTAAATCGTCGAGGGTGTTTTTATTGAATGGCAGTATTTCTTTTCTATCAATAATAAATGGGCTGGCAATCTGTTGTTGTGTGGACATGTTCTTTCGGACGATAGTATCTTATAGTGAAACAAGTGAATTTATTTCTGCAAATAGGCTACAAGGCAGCACTTTTACACGTCAATTTTATCAAGCGAACGATGAGGTCGATATTTCCTAACTGACTACTCTGAGAAGAAATGCCGAAACAAACTCAGAGGTCCGTCTCTTTTAAAGTCCAGACAATATGTATAATAGATTATGTGTGAGAACCGTGCAAGTTCTTTCTGTAGTGGCCTTTTGAGGAAAGACCCACAACAGTTTGAGTGGACCCGTTCTGAAGGCAGTACGCATGTGTCGGTTTACAGTCAGCTCAATTAACAGGTGGAATGACTGATTCGACGAACAATACCAGCCTAAAGAATATTATAGTAGGCATATCTATCACGCTTTATATTGCAAAGTTAGTGAAGTTGTTCCCAAAGGATTGTTCTGGGTTCTCTAGGGTAGGGTTTAGTATCTATACAATCGATATACATGCAATGTAGTTACATAAAATGAGGTTTAGCAGTCATCGTCGTCGTCTTTGTATGTAAGTATCTGTAGCCAACCTGATTGACTGCTGGCGCAGTGGCTGGTCCATCGGTTGCTGCAAAATGTGTGGTGGTTTTGATTACCGCAGGGAACATTTCTTCGTCGCGTCCAATATTTTTGTTTCTTTATTTGTAATGTGTACTTAAGTGAAATTATGTATTTTAGAAGAGGTTTTATAAGTGCTTTCCGTACTAAGGTACTTCGAAAACCTCTCTTCATCAGTAAACTGGCCTTGTTCAAAATGGCCGTCATTATCGAACCGATCTATAAATACAGTCATTAGTTTTCTAGATTGATTCCGACATCTACAAGAGGAGTAGGAATGGTGATTAATAACATCACATAACATCACGCCTTTTTATCCCCGAAGGGTAGGCAGAGGTGTAAATTATGGCACTTAGTGCCACTGTACAATGCAACACCCACTTTCTACTATTTATGTTATATATATATACCGGGTACATTTCCAGACTCCGTGCTAATACTGAGATTTCTTAAAAACCTAGTAATACTTTGCCCGACCCGAGTATCGAACCCGAGACCCCTTGCTCGGCAGTCGGTCAGCCAACGAGGCAGTAACGAATGGTGATTAATGATATATGAAATAATAACATACCTAATTATTTACTCTTTTTAACATATGCGGGTTATTTATGTACCTACAGTGAAAACACTCTTTCAAAATAGGTAGCCTGCCTAACCCATCGTAAAATGGATTCAGCTCTAATGGAGTTTCAATTAAAGTAGAATTCACTTTATTTGATCCAATGCAGGGCAGAGGGGTCGTTAATATAATAAAATCTGATACTTACGCCGTTGATTAATCGCATTGATTAAAACTCTGTATGATGAGAGGGTCGGCAAAAAGCTCTGTAGGTATGTAGGTACCTATACTTAGATAAATAACTTAGTACTTTCCATGCATTTGCATTTGTATACGTACCTACTCGGATACTAAAAAAATATAACCATTTACGTTTTGGTAGGCACATACAATTCTGTGTTGTTATAATAACAATCGTGGGACATACTGAATTAGGTAACTGGAAATTGAACTGATGTCAGTAGGCTGCGTGACATCGCCACGACCGCGGTCGCTGCTAATGAGGAAGAATCCTTCTGTGACTCGAAACTATCAGTTTTTCTCAGTGTATATTTACGTGAGCACCTAACTCGTAATTTATAGTTAATTGACATAAAGTTCGGAACATTTTAGTACAGGTACCCTAATAATTATGATTACAAATTGTACCTATAGGTAATATAGGCTGTCGCGGAGAACCTAACAGGTAACCGGGGCTCCGGCTCGACGTGCAGGAGAAGCAACGGGGTGGTGTTTAGTCAGTAAGAGTCTGACACTCCCTCCCGCCTCACCCAGGCGGGAGCAGTCATTCGAAGAACTTCCCCCTTAAAAACAAATAGGCTTAAGACGTCGATGGGCAATATTTAGAATGGAAGGTAACATAATTGCACAAATTATTATTACTCTTCAAAATATTGTGAAAACCAGTGTGATAAAAACTCTGTAGAGTATAATTCTGTTAGAGTCAGCATTAACTAAATATGAAAAGCGCTATAAGATTTAGGCAAATATTTCTTCTAGAAAATAATATATTATCCTTTTTATAATTGTTACCATTATTTTGCAACCACTTAGAACTCGTAACGCCATCTTACGTTTAAAAGCAGCAACGCCGCTAGCAAATGCTGGCATTTCAACACAGATGGCGTTGAATGTAGATATTTTAGAAGCAATTCCCAAATCTACATTTTACTTTATATTTGCCTCATGTACCGAACAATCTACTACAAAAAAATATTTCAGTTAAAAATGTAGTTTAGATTTTATGATATGGCATACGTGGGTTTGGCAATGTGTATATTTTCTGCACAAGCGGCAGTTTTTAAGATTAGTGGTCCCCAACAAGTGACCCGTGGAACACTAGTGGTCCGCAGAAGACAAATAATGGCCCGGGGAATGTAAAATAATGTACAAGTCTACTCTGTCCAATAATAAAGGAGACCATTGAGAGGAGCAACTGATTTCAAAAATCCTAAGTCACTATTTTTATGATTAAATGGAGTACAATCTTATTGTAGGACTACACGAAAGAAGTAATATTAATAGCGGTACTTAACCTAACAATAATTATTCATGACACAAGTGATCCTTGACCAGGAAACGGTTGGGAACCCCTAAATCTGACACGTACGACATGCGTACGACTCTCGAACAAGAAACATCTAGCTCCACGTAAAAATTAACAGTGTGTAATCGTTAGAAAGTGAAAGCTCTATACTCAACGCATCAGTGGCCGTGTGGGCAAACCTGGAACTCAACAAGATTAGGAATAAAGAGCCAGACTTCTGTTACTCAACAGTATAACCCAAAAGGTCAGTGTAATCACCTTGTTCCGGCGAAACTGAACATTGGTACAGCTGCATTACAACCAGCAGGCACTATTAAAGATTAAGGGACGGTCAGTTCCTTAAATAAACATCAAAACAAATACCAATTATGTTACAGAAACAATAGAACCCCTGAATCTGAATCCGCAACTACCGCTACTAGTGACATTGTTGTTGTTTTCACGGTTACATTTTTTATTCAATGGGGAACGTACCCAGAATTCTCGCAACATTGTAACCGCCATTCATATTTTCAAGCCCGTTAATTGGTCGAGCTAACCTCGCACTAAATGACGGGCGATGCCATGACCCTAATACCAATATAAAAGCTAATCAATCACTAAATAAGAAAAAACAATACTTAATCACCTATTAACACAATTCAGAATTCTTTGCAAGGGTAATCACAAAGTATTAAGATAATGTATAAGTCGATAATTAGGATTACTGGATTAATAAAAGAAAATAATTTTAGTTGTGGTCATAAATCTTATATTTTATTTCTATCTAACATCTATCTTCTATCTCGCCATATGGTTGCCGATTTCACATCTGAACAGTTCATTCCCTGTGGAAAAAGAAAACAAAAATATTAATACATATGATTAATACATTCACACATTATTAGTGAAATGGTTAACAAAAAACAGGATATTTTGGTTATGGATCAGTTATTAGTAAAATTCGCGTTTTACTAGAGATTCAGTCTACGAACTCATATTGCTAGACAGCTATAACAATGATAGGGGATGCAAAAGTAAATGTAAAGTTGTAGACAATAGAGTAGATGCTTAATTTTTATTTTAATGTTCGTATAGTAGATTATTTTAAATCATTCGACACGTATTTTTTATTACCTTACAGAAATAAATACTTTCGACGATATATTGATTTTAATTGTCGCGTGACGTCACTTCTATGTACATTTTATACGTAGAAATGACGTTTCAGCCCCGACTCCTAACTTTGATTCGTTTTAACTAAGCATTGTTTTATTATACGACAAATTAAAAAAAAAACGTGCCTAATTATTTTTTCATTACCTAACTGACGGACTAATTAGATTTTTAATTTTCATATCCTGTTATCATCAATTCATAATTAAATAACTATTAACAAACAACTGAGAGAAAGTATGTTATATATGTCGTAGGATAATTTGATACTTCGAATCTTCGCGAAAATCCTAGGGGTTTTGCGAAAACGCGGATAATTAGACATAGGCGAAAAATTATCAAATCTTACTGGACAAAGTCAGGACTTTTGCGAAAATACTCGTTACTATAGTAAGATTGCGAAACGAAACGCTGGCTGTTATGAAATAAGAACGCTGATTGGTCGGTCAGCGCGTTCAATAAGAGATCGTCTCTGATTGGTTGACGTCTTAAATGTTTTTCGTCGTCTTAAACGACCAGTTTCATCCAATTTATGGATTACACCCTAAAATTGGATCATTTTTTTTACTACGATTGAGATCTCCTATTGTCTGTAGAAAACAACATACATACTAAAATTTTCAATAAAAAGTTTATAAAAATGAATTTAGTGATTTTCCTTTCTCACTTATTCTAAACCTTCATAACTCTATGCTGCAATACTTGAAGTTAAATATCGGCAAACTAGGAACCAATTAGAAGTCAGCCAGCAAAATTGTAGCCAATCAGTGTTGAGCACATCAAATCTTACTATAGTAACGAGTATTTTCACAAAAATCCTGACTTTGTCCAGTAAGATTTGATAATTTTTCGCCTATGTCTAATTATCCGCGTTTTCGCAAAACCCCTAGGATTTCCGCGAAGATTCGAAGTATCAAATTATCCTACGACATATACAATCGGGTACTTGCCAACTAGTCAAATTCAATACTTTTTTCGAACAGTCAAAAACGACAGTTTTCTATGAATTTTGTACGACATGGCATTGTATTTCTTAACGTCAAACAGAATACTTATTTCTTAAAAAATTGCTGGAAATATACTAAAATGAAGTTGGTCATAAAATCAATTAATGTGTAATTATTTTTCGAATATTGTATAGTACTGAACAGTCGAAATAATTTATTTTTGACTAGCTGACCTGGCAAACTTCGTACCGCCTAAAAAATATTTTTCTCACCTTTTAAACCTTCCCTGCACTTCCACGAACATTTCAAGACCAAAATTAGCCAAATCGGTCTAGCCGTTCTCAAGTTTTAGCGAGACTAACGAACGGCAATTCATTTTTATTTATATAGATTAAGGAAAGTACCCATTTGCACTTTAACATCCAAGTGTAGTCTAGTAGTAATACAATATCAATCTTTCTCTAATAACACCGCAGACTTCTAGTTATTTCATTAAGTAAAAATATCAAATATTATAAAATAATTGTACCTTGATGAGTAGCGACATGTTCCCTCAACTTCTTTATACTGATGAACTGGTCCTGACACACGCGGCACTTGTAGTGATAGTCCACTATCTGCAATTGTACAATTATTATATATAAAAGTTTACTAAACTAAAATGTAAACTGCTTGGTCCCTTAGGCCCAAAACATAAGGACTATAAGCAGTATTCGAAGTCTCCAACACGTTAACAGCATTGGCAGCATGTTGGTTCGGGTCCACTGGACAATACTCAAATGTAGTCAGTAGCTAAATTCCAATAGTAGGTAATTTAATACATAATTTAATACTTTAATTCTGTAGACAATCTAGTTTCCTTATGGCATCGAGCATTTCTTTCTTTATTGAAACAAAGAGTTTCCTTTTTCTTGTATAGAAGCACTATTTCTATGGATTGTCAGTATTCGTATGTGAGCACCATGTTAGACTTTAAGAATTTTTTTATTTTTATTTTAGTAAGTTATTAGTATAATGCGTCAAGCGTGTCTTTGCATTGTTCTTACATATGCGTACAGTATTGGAATATGTATCAGAGACATTGTAGAACATACTTTTTTAAAAAGAGTAACAAATGGAGTTTCTTGCTCGTTCTTCTCCATTCGAATCTACATTTTGGAATGAGCACCTAGCTTCACCTAGTTTCACTGACGGACTGACTGACAGACTATTATTTATTTTGTATTTGTTGACGTTTCAAAAGTACCAAACTATGGTTTTATTGAAATAAATACTTTGACTTTGACTTTGTTATTCTTCTGAGTATATTTGTGTTAAAAAAGCACTTGAAAATCAAAGCATTTATTTCTAATGATCTTTAAATTTGTACTTTTTAAACGTTAAAATTGAATTGTCTATCAGTCTGTCTATTGTGAAGTGAAGCTAAGTGCTCGTTCTTGTATTGCTTCTATTGTTGCAGGTATCCTTTGGTGGCGCTGATATCGTACCATCAAGTGATCCGTCTGATTCACCCCTCATCACTACATGGTATAAAACAAAGTCGCTATTCTCCGTCTGTCTGTCCCTATGTATGCTTAGACCTTTAAAACTACGCAATGGATTTTGATGTGGTTTTTTTAATAGATAGAGTGATTCTTACAGAAGGTTTATATGTATAATACATGCATATTGCACCCGTGCGAAGCCGGGGCGGGTCGCTAGTTTCATAATAAAATATATATAGTTCCTTACCTCAGCCAAAATAGAAGATATGACAGTTTTATACTTCTGTATATCTTCAGAGGTATGCGTCTTGAAGTGAGCCAGTAGGTTGTACACGGTCACGAATGAACGAGCACATATGGGGCAGGCAATGCTCTCTGTAGAGGGAGAATACAAAGCAATTAATTTAAATAGCTCCCAATCCCCAAAAAGCCGGTAACGCACTTGTAACGCCTCTAGTGTTCCAGGTTTCTATGGACGACGCCGATTGCTTACCATCAGGTGATCCGTCTGCTCGTTTACCGGCTTATGCCATAAAAAAAAAGTGTTATGATACTTTAATTATAATTATATAATTGATGTGCTAGAAGCTATTCTTCAGTTGCATGGTAGAAAATAACATAACATCATGCCTTTTTATCCCCGAAGGGTTGAGGAGCACATTACGGCACTTAATGCCACTGTACAATGTAACACCCACTTTTCACTATTTATGTTATGAGTCCCATGTAATAGGGGGTGAGCCTATTGCCATATACTGGGCACAATTCCAGGCTCCGGGCTACTACTTAAATTTTTGATTTGCTAGAAAACTTTGAGCTGCTAGAAAATAAAAGTGAATAAAACTTAGTCTGACCCATGGATCGACATATTATGATCTCTTGCTCAACAACTAACCAACCAGTTCCCGCGTCCCGTAGGATAAAATAGGCCTATGTATTATTCCCAAAATAAAGACAATAAACAAACATACATACAAACTTTCGCATTTATAATATTAATAATAGTATAACAGCAGGTAGTTTCGATCTGTTAATAAGCACACTGATGAAATTTGGAACAGGGATATGGGTGCTTACTCTTGAAGCCAATCTCAATTTCAATCTAATAAAATCTCAATAATTATTCAATGTCAAAATTATACAATCCCAATCGTAGCTGTTAAAATAGCATTCAGAGTACAGAATATAAATCTAAACTCAATACCATTTAGTTCATTAAATATTCACGCAATATGCAATAGGCGCTAATATGGCAACTCGAGAGTACGAAATCGTACAATACCAATGTCCATCGATCGGAATTGGAATCAGGAGTAGAGCACATAGGCCACTTTCTATTCCACGGGTACGCGGGCGAAGTTGCAGGCAATAGCTATTAATACTATAAAATTATAGATAAGTATGTCTGAATAGTTATTTTGCAAAAATTACCAATGACGGACTCACTCTTAGTGTTCTTCTTGACTCCCCGCCAGGAGGTTTGGAAGCAAGGTGCACACATCTTGCAGTATGCTAGCTCCTTCATGTACATCTTCACGTCTTCATCATCATCTTTCTCCTCCGATTCATCCTTCGTTTCTGATGATTTTCTGTAATGTTTAATTTTAGGGTCAAGGTCATAACTAAAATCATTGGGAAAAGTGTAAAACTGTAATATAGATTTACTTTTAATGAATCTAATCAATAAACTTATCTACAAATTGTATACTATTAGGCATAAGCATCGATGATGATGATGATGATAAAAATGTATCAACATGTCTTCAATGTAGTTAAGAAAAATCAATATGTAGGTATAATATCTTTATAAGTAATTTAAAAATTACTTCTTAATTAAATACCACATTAACTCGTCGAGTACCGTATTTATAGACACAATTAAAGAACAATAGGTTGCGGTCACCGGTGACCGCTTGGTGTTTGACAGTTTAACTAAAAATTACGAATCACTCAGGTAAATATACTGAGGAAAGCTCTATTAATTTCGAGTCACAGGGGGACTCTTACTGGTGGTGACGTCGCGTTACGTCAGTAACTCGTAACTACTAATATGATGTCATTCTTTTATGGTTATTGGAGAGTACACATCCTGTGATGTGATACATACTTATCTTATACTTTCTACAAAGAATAAGTAGAAATATTAAATTAACAATAACTAACCTGTCTCTTGCAGTTATCAATTTATACACAGCTGAAGATGATTCTTTTGGTTTGTACGCAACAAGGAGATCTCCATCCTTAGTCTCTTCTTTACTTAGAATCACCTCATCCGTGATATGATACGCTTTGTGTCTTCGTGTAGACAATCCAAATGTGGTCAGTACTTTCTTCTCCTTGTACCGAGGAAGTACGCACTGGAAGATTTCAGACTTCTTATCGCCATCCTCGTTTTCAACGGATGTCTTACTCCATATTGTTGTTTCTGGTTTTCCTATAAATTTTTTATTCATCAATTATTGAATATTAGTATGTTTCATTTATTTTTATTAAAAATTATACTTATAAGAATTATAGTTGAATCAAATAAAAGTTCTTGGATGACCGAACATTACCTGTAAATGTTACCTACCTAGATCAAATTATCACCCTGAATACAAAATTTTAAGTCAAACTCAAAGTCAAAATCATTTATTTCAATTAGACCAGAAAGGCTATTTGCTCATTCCAAGGTGTAGATTCCTATGGAGAACGAGCAAGCAACTCCATCAGGTTCACAATAAAATTTTCTAGTTTCATAGTTTTGTTGCTTGGATTGTGCGAGAACAATGTAACACTGCAGTCAAATAATTGATGAAGCCGTTTCCGATATTGTTTGTATATATACAACAATTGCTTGTTTAAAGGTATTAGATATAACAAAATTATTTTATTTAGGTAATGTCTGCATTCCCATTGTTTTCTTATTATTGTAAGCGATGTGTAAGACTTTGTTTACTTAGTACAAAAATATAGTAATTGCAATAATACAAACCTGTTTGTTTGTTCGGAACATTGCGGAACACCACTGTTCTAGTAGAACTGAAAGTGTCCCCTCTCTCTGGCTTCAGCAAGTTGTCACAATGTTTGAAATGCTCCAAACACACATTATTCCAGTTATTCAACCTCTTTTCATCAGATTCCTCATTTTTAATAGCTTTAACTGGCAAGCATAATGGATCGTCATAATCTGGGATCCTTATTTGATATAGTTTTCGATCTATTGTAGGATCTTTAAGAGGTAGATACTTCATCTTTTTAGCAGAACCTACTTTTGAAGTGTTTACAGGCTCTTTCGGGTGATACGTTTTCACTTTATTTTTGACCATGTTTTGTTTTTTCTTCTTGCCTTTCGTACTCGGTGGGCTGGCTGGAACGAAGTCATTTCTAGGATCGTAGTCAGAATCTTCATCGTCTTTCCTCCTTTTTCGTTTACGTTCAGCCGGCTGGCGTTCAACCAGCAGTGGGGTTAACTTCTGTTCGACGCGGGGCACTAAATGTGGAACTTGTATGGGTACTGCTTGAACGCATTGTTGAACGATATCTGCATCTTCATCTAAAAACTCTATATCACCATCCGATTCAGCCATAACTTGATTTTAATACAGTTTTCGAGTAATATCAACAAAACAAAACACCACAAACTATTCAGAAAAATCTCGTTTATTTTGACATAATCTGTCAAACTCTACATTTTTGTAAATTGTCTCTGGATTATCATTCGTTTAGAAATCACCGAATCATGAATCAAGCCGAAAAAGGCTCGTCGATCACTTGGAAAATTGATAAATGTTATCTTGCCGATAGAAAACTAAGCTCTTTTTCTTAGTAAGTATAATGCTTATATATTGAAATCTAGTACAGTACATTTTGGATTCTAGCTCAAAACGACCTTAACATGGATATTATTATAAACGAGCTCCTGCCACCGGCTTCGCCTATTTTCATGGTGAGTGTAAACAAATGATACTTTTACAAAAAATAATGGCTTATTTCGTAAGTATCTGTCTTATTCATTCAACCTAGGTGGGAAAAGATTATCCTTGCATGATGACATCAAACGAGCTGACAAACTTCACGGAATTTAATCACCTACACCGTACATAAAAGAAAACTACATTCTTCCGGTATTTACAATCTTACTTAAATTGAAATGTGTTGTCGCATTCTTTATCAACTCGACGATAAGATAATCTTTTGATGACTATCAGCTGTATTAAATTAATACTGTAATCTATTCACTCATCTAGACCCTAACAAATACATTTTAGTAACTGACAGTCACTAACTGGCTCCTCTCACGCGGTTTCACCTGCTCCTCGGATCTTTTTGAATATATTGTGATGTTTTATAACTAATAGCCTTCCTCGATAAATGGAGGATGGAACACAAAAATATTTAAATTGTAACCAATAGTTTCTGAGATATTAATCTCGTCGTGAGCGTCCAAAAAAACTAAATCTTCAACTTTATAATAGCTGATGCCCGTGGTCAATATTGGTCGGTTTCAAAGTCTCGTCAAAATCGGTCCAGCGATTCTAGAGATTAGCCAGTACAAACAAACAGACAGACAAACATTCTACAAAAGACAAAAGTGTTATTTTCGTTTAGTATTTCTATCGTATGTATATTTTTATGCATGTAATTATAAGCGGTTATTTCAATTTCACACACAGACACCCCAATTTTATTTATATGTATACTGATAGTACTTAGAGTGTAATAAATAATATTCGAATTATCAATACAATACTTTAGGTACAGCAAACGTGAGCCCGTGTAGGTACTCACTTACGTCTACAGCGGCCCTTGTCTGCTATTTTATCAAAATTCGTCATTTCAAAGTCAAAGTCAAAGTCAAAATCATTTATTTCAATTAGACCAGGATGGCACTTTTGAACGTCAAACAACAAAAATTTATAAGTGAAGCTAGTTGCTCATTCCAAGGCGTAGATTCCTATGGAGAAGAACGAGCAAGAAACTCCATAGGTTACTCTTTTTCAATCAGGTTTACAATACAATTCTCTAGTAACATAGTTTTATTGGTTCGATTATGTGAGAACAATGCAACACCTAAATCCAGTCAGAAAGACTGAAAAAGAAAATAACCTTGAGGATAATAAAATAAAAAGATACAGTCTGGAGCTGACCAGTTCCAATCGACGGTGCCCGTTCCGAACATTTTGCGAACTCTAGCACCGCCCAACTCAACCATTTTGTAGGGAATCGAGCGATCCACTGCACGTGCCACCGCCAACGAGATCTTTGAGTGAGCATGACAACTCCAAGCTGACATAAATGCAATCTACTAGTCTAATTTGATTGAATTAATTACAGGGCTCTCACATTTACAATAGATTGTGCAAAGTTTTAAACTATACAAATATTTAAGCAACATGATTATATTATTACACAATAGAATTCATTGAACATCACTGTGTTTCATGTATTATCCTGCGGAGCCGGACCAGCCTGCCTCCAAGCACTTTTATCCTCTATATAATCATTTAGTTTGTAGTATGCTTGTCTACATAACGTTTTTTTAATACATAGTTTAATTTTTCTTTCATTTAGATGCAGTATTTCTTGGGGGATTTTGTTATAACATTTAACACCGAATCCCATGAACGACTTATGTACTTTTGACAATCTAAAAAATGGCGGACTTAATCTATTCTTATGTCTAGTTTCATAATTGTGTCTGTCAGACACTTTACTAAATAAATGTAGGTTTTTCCTAACATACATAATATTTTCATAAATAAATTGACATGGAACGGTCATAATATTGATCTCCCTAAACCTTTCTCTGAGAGATTCGCGACGACCTAGGTTGTATATAGCTCTGACGGCGCGCTTCTGCAAGATAAAGATAGACTCAATGTCAGCAGCGTGTCCCCACAGCAGAATGCCATACGACATGATGCTATGGAAGTAACTGAAGTACACCAGTCTTGCCGTGTCTATATCGGTTAACTGACGGATTTTCCAGACAGCATAAGCTGCAGAGCTTAATCGTCCCGCTAGAGATGTAATATGAGGACCCCATTGTAATTTGTCGTCTACAGTAATTCCCAGGAAAATAGTTTCTTTTACAAATTCCAATTTCTCACTATTCAGTAATATGTCACATTCGTTATTTTTAACGTTTGGCAAAACAAATCTAATGCATTTTGTCTTTTTATCATTCAGCACTAAATTATCAACACGATCCCATTGTTATTTTGCCAAAAGTTCGTAATCTGATGATTTAAAATGAGTCGGTCAATGACCAGTGATCCTCTTAAAGAGTTAAGATTAATAGAATAATTTATGAGATAAATAAAAAAGAATTGACCAATATAGAATTATTGCAATTTAGCTACAAATTAATTAGTCAGTCCTTGGTTTGCCTCGTTGGCCGAGTGGTCGCAATTGCGACTGCCGGGTAAGGGGTCTCGGGTTCGATTCCCGGGTCGGGCAAAGTGTTACTGAGTTTTAAAAAAATTCTCAGTAGTAGCACGGAGTCTGGAACTGTGCCCGGTATATGGCAATAGGTTCACCCCCTATTACATGGGACTCATAACATAAATAGTGAAAAGTGGGTGTTACATTGTACAGTGGTATAATGTGCACCTCTGCCTACCCCTTCAAGGATAAAAGGCGTGATGTTATGATCTTATGTCCTTGGTTTGTCATTAAGTACAAGATTACTATTTTGTACAATTTCTGTTCTAGGTGACTAGCTACTCCCGCGCAGTTTCAGCCGCTGCTCGTCTCCTATTCAATCGTAGCGTGATATTTATAGCCGACGCTTTCCTCTATATAATTATTTTTAAGATCTATTAAACAAACAACAAATTAATAAAGGTATTATTTTTATAGTAGTAGTTCCGAAATTTAGAGCGTTCAAACAAATTAACGAATTTTTCAGTTTTATAAAACTATATAGGAATTACGATCATACTCCGTATTTATATCGTTATATAGATATCAAATGTGTCCAAATCAGCATTTCGTAACCAAAATATAGTAGCAGACTAAAAACACAATGTTCAACGCATTTAAAAAACTGGCATGCCAAAAATATATCCTACAGGTATCTACAGTAAAAAATAAAAACTGCGTTTAAAAAACCGACTTCAAAAACCAAAAACTAATAACAAACAAAAAGTCAATACTAAAAAGCAAAAAATAACTATTATTAGTACTGATAGGTTACCCACCCACTGATAGGTAAGAAGTCGGTGCCATAAGTTCCATACAAAATTATTCATTAAAACCTTAATAGGTATCTAATTCACAATTTTGTGGACATTAAGTTATATCATTATGATATGAGCTTATGGCACCGACTTCTAACCTATCAGTGGGTGGGTAACCTATCAGTACTAATAATAGTTATTTTTTGCTTTTTAGTATTGACTTTTTGTTTGTTATTAGTTTTTGGTTTTTGAAGTCGGTTTTTTAAACGCAGTTTTTATTTTATTATTTTACCGTTTTCAGTGTAAAGCTACATATACCCGTTTTGTTACTTATAATATACATAGGTGCAAAGTCCTCATCAATACAAATTAATCAAGCCCAAACTCAAGGTAGTTACTGTATACCGTTGAGTTGTTCCCTTCACAATTACACTTCTTCATCATCAGACCCTTAATGACAGCCCCACTCTATCTAGGTGTAGGTAAAGTCCTCATCAATAAAAATTAATTAAGCCCAAACACAAGGTAGTTAATATAAACCACTGAGGAGTTCCCTCGACTGTCTGTCGGCTCCATCATCAGGTCGACTCCAGACCCTTATTAAATTGTAGTGTTTAAAATTCGTAATTGAAAAACATAATAGACGCATTACTCCCCCATAGAATTTTCGAAAGTTCCCCTCGGTTTCCCTAGGATCCCATCATCAGATCCTGACTTCATGGAAATGGGACCATCTCGGGAGTATACCCTTTCAAACGAAACAAAAATTTTCGAAATCGGTCCACAAACGGCGGAGTACTGCGCGAAAAAACAAAAAAAAAAAAAACAATCAGCCGAACATAGTACCTCCTCCTTTTTTTGAAGTCGGTAAAAAGGGTATTTCCCGACTTACATCCCCTCTGATTTACAACATACTATTAAGACGATTGAGGTACCTATGTAAATACGGATATAGATGGCTAAACACATAGGTTGGGCTAATATAATAGCTATGCAGTAAAACATTATTACTGATATTCCGTATCTCACTTATATTATAGGACTACACACAAAAGTTTACGTAGAAAAAAGACCCGTACCTAATCACTGAGATAATATTACACTATAATATGCATTAACAACTAAACAGTGATAAGTTAACAGGTACAGCTAATCAGTTTACTTCGAGATATGCAACGGGTAGATTCCTTGTGCCTATTGAACACTTAAAAGCTTAGCAATAAAAATTCGGGCAGTAGACTGTCCGACTAGTGTGAAGTGATTACAAATTAAAAACGATATCATAATGTGCCGGTTAGCAGCGAAATATATTTTGTTCACAGTTAATTTATTATTAACGGTTAGTACCTATTTATTTAAAAATGTGTAATATATTCCTTATTAGTGTTTTAATAAATCAAATGAAAGAGTCAAATATTAATAGTCAAGCTTGTAATATTAATTATATTTATATTGATGTAATAATAAGACTTTTATTTTTTTAGTACAAAATACTTGGTACCTAAGTGATTATTTGGAAATAATATTTTTATAGATTTGGTCGTAAATAATATATTTTCAGAGATGAGAAGTTCTAAAAGTATTGTTCAACAAAGTCCACTTTCTTCAACAGTATCAAAATTCTAATATTATTGAAAAAAATATGAAATATAAGTAGGTAAATAAATTGTAACATTTTTTTGTTTCAGCTCGTAGGCCTCTTTCTTGTAGGCGTGGGAGTATATATAGCAATCCAGTACAAAAATCTACTCGATGATGTACTTGGCATACAACTCAACAAAGATTACGCGCCAACTGGTCTCATTGCTTTAGGTGTAGTGGTGTTTATTATTTCCTTATTCGGATGTTGTGGAGCCATCTCAGAGTCAAAAAGCACGCTTAAATTTGTGAGTTCTTTAATTAAAATATATATATATAATTATTAATCCTAAGTTTAGTGGTGGCCCACTCCTACAAAGTCTAGGCTCCCTATTAAATATAGGCCCAGGAATATGAATTCATTCAAGTCGTGGATAAATTTAAGGAGCAGTTTATCCTGGACATTTAGGTAATTCGTTTGAGAATTCAAAACATGGCTTGTCGTTGTATGTCCAAAAATTATCATTAAGTTCTTATACTTGTTTTGAAAATTCGAACTTATCGACGTCCAACATTCGAGATAAAGATACAGAAAATTTTCAAAACTTGGGTCAGTACCTATTATGTTTTAACATTTGGTAATTCGATATATTTTAAACGTTCCTTGAGTTTCTAAAGTAAGTGTACATGAAGTGATTTCTAAAATATCTGAATTTGGAGACATTGCGATTACAAAATACTAATATGATTTTCTTTTTCAGTATGCTGGTATTATGGGTGTGTTAGCTGTCGCAAAGATAGCTTTCACAATATTCCTGTTTGTAAAAATGTCCGATTTAAAAGATAATGTACAAAGAACTATAGATCAAAACTTTAACGACCCAGCTCAAAATGTAGCCTTCCATGCCCTTGAGGCTACTGTAAGTATTTTTAAGGGAATTTATAGTTGTATATTGATTTAAATGAGTACAAGTAAAGGCAGAGTTTATATTGTTGACTGATCAAATGCTAAATTGTAAAGGTTCTGTGTGTTAAGAACTGATTACAATTAATTACTTTTTTAAGGTTTAGAGAGTACGTAGTATTCGTTGGATTCTTTTATATCCCGCATCTGCACCCTGCAATCTTATTTCCATTTCCTTTCTCTTTAATACCTTTAATAGGTTTACACATACGACACGACTGTTGACAAATTTTTATCTTTATCTTTCATCATCTAACGGAAAATAATATAATGTTTTTTTCAGTTTAAATGTTGCGGCACAACAGGTCCAGATTCTTATAGTATCAACTACAATAATTTGACAGCACCAACGTGCTGCGATAAATTCAACAACGACCCTACGACTACTGACGACGCGAATAGAATCTGCACAATAAATGAAGCTTATCCAGTAGGCTGCAGTCGTCTCATTGCGACCACCGTTTACAATTTCCTAAGAACAATTGCTTTTGTATTGATAGGATTTATAGTTTTTGAGGTGAATATTTTTTAAAGTTTATAAGGAACTTACTTATATATATTTTATTTATATACGAGTGCATCCATTAACTTAGAGGTCGTAAGTGCGACTTTTAAATTCTATGGAGAGCGGTCACTAGTAACCGCTTGGGGATTAATCAGTTAAGGTTATTGTGTTGGGAAACGTTTGCTCAATATTGTTGATTTCAGAAAATTCTGTGTGATGAGTCAAAAATAGTGCCTAGCTTTAGTAGCCTAGCGGTAAAGACCATGCCCCTATATTATTCGATTGCACTGAAAGGCTGCTGCTTAATACACCGTGGGTTTAGATTGACTTTTTCATGGAACAATATGCATCTTTGTATACTGTAAACCACAAATTTACAAATTTTTTGGTGTGTTATGTGAAATTATGTTGCTATTGTACTCCTGAAACAGGGATTATTGTGGTACAAGGAAACTAAACATAAAAAGATATTAAATAAGACTTATGAACTGACAGAATAAAATGTGTGATGTTTTCCGAAAGTTAAAATAACGAATTTTTCTTTCAGTTGATGGCGATGTTGTTGGCACTTTATGTCGCCGCTACGGTGCCACTGCCGGTCGTGAATGCCCCTACTACATATTACTATTACTAAGGTTTATATTTATCTAACTGATGGATAATTTACCTTCTGTATTTTCTATACAGAATGTACCAAGATGTGCGTCAGTTATAGTTAAAGGACGTTGAAAAAAAGGCGGACACAGTCTCTTGAAACAACGACTGTGGCACTGGCTACTATAGAGTATAGACTTTCACGCAGAATATACACACATTACACTTTATTTAATTTGCTCTGAATTTGGGTAAATACTTTGTAGTAGGTACATACGTTTAATTTGCATTATTATTTCATGATTGATAGATTTTCCGTTGCAAATAACGTAAATAAAGAGTTAGATACAAATAAAAACAAAAGAAGATAATTTATAAAAAATAATGTAAGGACTGATAGCTGCAAATTGTCCTGATAAAAAGTGTTTTAAAAATAAACGTTTAACAGTAGTGTGGATTCTTGTTTATTTAAAAAAATAAATAATCAAGAGGAAACAATATGGCTATGCTGTATTTGCGCAAATGACAATGCAAAACTACCTTCTAATCTTTGGATTTAGTATCGCGGTTGATTAAAATGAATCCTTAAATACCTAGCCTTATGGTAAAAAGAAGCACATACAAATAAAAGTTAATAGAACCTCAAAAATTTGGCTGCTTTCCTTATGTCTAGCAACGTGGTTGCCCATTACACACGCACACATAAATAAACCACTGACATTTTTGTGCTTCAAAAATTTTTCCGAACGCCTTCTTTTCAGGGTCCAATAGTACCTACTGAAATCAACCAGAAATAAGAAAACAAAGCTTCAATCTCTAAACATATTATAATAATATACTCGTACAAAATATATTTTTACTCATTTCTTACAACTGTGTTTTATTGATTTATCTGAAATGCATACTTATCAGACTTAAATAGATTAACAGATTAATGTTATCTCAACTAATCTTATCTATAAGTAATATCCAAAATACCTATATTCGAAAGTACTTACTTATATTGACATTTCTCCTAGCATTTATTATCAAAATTATTGATGACTAGCTGTGGCCCGCGACTTCGTCCACGTGGAAATGTGGAATATGTTATACTTCTCTTTTATTCAATATTAAAATGTTACAATTCATAACTAATTTTTATCCTAATTTTTAAAAAAATCTTACAACTAGGTTAACAGATATTTTTTTCTTAAGATAATATTAGCACGAGTTGTGCTTGCTTCTGACCAGTAGAATAACAATAAATTTAAAACAAACAATTATTTTTCTGCATTTACTGAAACAAGTACTTAAGTTTAATAAAACACACAAAGGTAGCAAAGCCGAAGCGCATCCATAGACTATGATGATTTCTGAACGAACGATTGGCAGTTCCAGCTATAGACAACACAAACGCTTTTATCTTTCCTCAAATGAACGTATAGTCTATGGTTAACACTTATTATTGTCAACATGTCGGACAAGTTAGTATTTCAGCAAAAAATAGTTAAATTATAATTTTAATGCATATATTTAGTGTAAAATAACGTCCGGTGTTATCTAAAGTGATCAATTGATGTGTTTACATTAAAAACAGTGGACGAACACTTGTATTTCTTTCGTTCAATTTGCGTCGTAAAATTCTGACATGTGATGTGTTAGTTATCGTGATCAATAAAATTTTTTTTCATTTGCAGTGAAGACCTATTAGGTGACGATTTAGGAGACCAGAGCCTTGCGGACTATAACCTTGGCAATGAGGAGGAGGAACAGCTCTTGGCTGATGACTATGACAGTGCTGGTCCTCAAAATGTACCAACTTCTATTGGATCCAGTTACCGTGAGCCCATTGATATGGGCCCACCGGAGTATACCAGTCATCTAGAGTATAATAATCAGGTATGTAATTTTATTCACTCTGTTCTTGATGACCTTAGCCCAAGTTACTTGGGGTTAGCAGCCCATAGTATGTTGTTTCCATTTTTCCCTAATATATGTCATTCTATCACAACCTCCTTTCTCTTTCATATCATTAGTCATACAATCTTTTCTATTGTCATCTGCCTTTTCCATCTGCTTATATTGAAATTCATACTTTGATATATTTAAATATTTCTGGCACACATTATAAAATGATTTCATTAAAATATTGTGAAACATTGCATGTTTCCTATAATGTCATGACCAGGTATCGGAAAAAGGTGAGCTAATTTACCTAAGCTTCAAGGAACAAAAACAAAAAGTGGAGATTTCCTTACTACAACATTTTTTTCGGGAAAGTTCCAGTTCCAGTTACGGGATATTTATGTATTACATTTAATATAATTGTTATTAATTTAATTTGCACTTTAATTTGCAGCCACCCATACAGTATCAAGCTATTGCAGACACGGAGTGTGTGGTGCCGAATATAACTGTAGAAGTACCGAATGCTCCGATGCCAGAGGTGCCTACATACGCTCCGTATGAACCACCAGTATATGAGGAACATGCTGTACCACCTGCAATTGTAAGCTATTTCTATCTAAGATGTTTTTAGAATTAATGCATGCTGCAATAGTATAAACTCAAACTCAAAAGTATTTATTTCATTTAAACCATAATTTGGTACTTTTGAAATGTCAATGTATAAAGAGGAAAGATTTGATTTTTTGTTTGTTTGTTAATTTGAATGGAATCACCTCCGTAACTAACGGACCAATTTAAAAAATTGTTTTACCATTGGAATCCTACATTATTGATCATGAACATAGGTTATATTTAATAAGAGAGAAAAAAGAGAACCATGTGTGTTCTATAATCTTGTAAGCAACTGCTTTGTGATGACTATTGATTGATTGATAAATGCACATAAAGAATAACATGGATTAACAATTTTTCCTGAAAGTAATTCTGATGTTTTGATTTCATTGAAATATTTCATGTTAGTAGTGATATTATCAATACTCAATATTGTTGTGAATAATTTTTCTCAAATAGTGAATTACTTGATTAACATTAACAAATGACCCGTGTATTTTATATCGTAACTTAAAATGAGCTTTGACGAAGATACTAGAAAATTAAAAATACGTCAAGCAGTGCTATAATAAGTTCCGGTTTTTTAAAATACTCAAACAATCCCGATTATTATCTATATGTATATGTTACCTTAAACTTATGTTTTGAATCATTTCAATCTACCTACTCCGATCAATAGCAATGACAATATTCTTATGTCAACAAGCCTAGCATAACATACTAATTTAATTCTGTGCTACTGGAGTGCTTCCACTATTGAACAGCATACAGAAATGTCCTAATGATAAAGGCATTGTTTGGTGCATCCATATTTGCACATTAACTCATTAGTATTCACCCCATAGTGTACTAGTTGCATTCATTGTCTCTCCCACTATGTATTTACCTTTTACTGTATCTTACAAGCCCATAGTTCCCAGCCCCTGAAAGAATGTGTTGACATATTTGTAATTTTTCTTTGCAGCCAGCAGCCCCAGTGGAATCACCACAGATTGTGCCATCAGATATGAATGCTCAGATCCAAAGTAAGTTTTATTAAATTCTATCACTTAGCCTATAAAATTCAGTACATACATACATATATAACCTCACGTCTGACTCCCATGGTAGGCAGTGACTATGGAATGCCAATTGCAGCGATTATTACAAACCTCTTTCGCTTCCTCAAGAGTCATCATTTTTGTCATGCATGCTCGTCAGTTAGGGTTACTTTGAATTCGACTCTTATATAGCCAATCTGGCCGACATATGTCCGTCTAGGGCGACCTCTACGGACGACCTATTCGACGTAAAGACATAAAATTCCGTCTATTTTAAATTTTATTTCCATGGACATTTTGAGGGACTAAACTAAACACATGGGTCAGTTTTCGCAAAATATCTCTAAGTAGATTTGTACTATACCTTAAAATATATCAAATTAATTTCTATTGTAATTCTTTATTCACAGATGGAGATTTAGGTGGTCCTCGGGAAAGATTTATCTCTGAGAGACCACCGGGTGCTCAGCGACTGCCACAAGTTAGAGATATACCTGATACCTTAGGTAAGTGATTTTCTAAAATAATGTGTAATTTGTAAATGACAAAAATTGGTAAATCATTTACTGTAGATTTTTCCAAAATACTTCTAGTTTATGAGGAAATTAATAATTTTTTTTATAATAACTATCGTGACACATTCTAAATAAAGTAAAATCGCGGGTTACTCACGTGAATATACTGAGAAAAGCTCTACTAGTTTTGAACCACAGAGGGGTTCTTCCTCATGAGCAGCGTGCGAGGTCGTGCTCTGTACATGCTCATTACTTAACCTATAGATCCCCAAGCGGTCACCGGTGACCGCTCTCCCCTAATATTACATTACATTATAGACTTTATTTCCAAAGTTTAGAGAGTACTTTTGTATGACCAAATTTAGGGGATGGATTTCAACGGGTTAAATTAATTAATATTGTTAGTCGAGTCCTATTACTTTTAGTCCAGTTGGTCTGTTGGACTGTTCTGTGCCTTTAGCAAAACTCCACTTTAGCGCTTGTCTACTGAAAGAGTAGAAAATTAAATGTATGGGGATGACACTGACAAGTAATTTGATTATCTATTCTACATGAAGACAAGCGCTAAATGGCATTTGGCTACACCTACTGATTCGAAATATGTTTAAAATGTGCATCATTGTCTATTGTTAGGAGGGAAAAAATGCGTAATGTTATGCTAAGTCCACATTCACTAAGTTTATTCCACATTTTTACCTGACTGTGGCGAAGCTAAAAGGAGGTCAACATAATAACGTAACATCACGTCTTTTATCTCCGAAGGGATAAGCATAGGTGCACATTACAACACTTAATGCCACTGTACAATATAACACCCACTTTTCACTATTTATGTTATGAGTCCCATGTAATAGGGGGTGAGCCTATTGCCATATACCAGACACAATTCCAGACTCAGTGCTTCTAGTGAGAATTTGAAAAGGAGATACTATATCATTATTATGTATGTACTGTATGAATCTACGAGTGGTCATATGCCATATAAACAAAAATAAATGTCATTGGATAGCCTTAGCCCGTTGAAAATTGTTAAAAATCATCTCCTAAATTTGTTCATACAAAAGTAGTATCTAAACATTGGAATTAAGGTCTATAATGTAGGTAGTGGAGAGCGATCACCGGTGACCGCTTGGGGATACTTATACGGGTTAGTGGGACTATCCAATATGAAAATTTTCTGGTTTGATACTTTTTAGAAAGTGTTTTTTTTGTGTACTCTTAACACAATAACCACAATAATATAAACACACATATTATGTTCCAGATAAGGTAGTGATACCTCGCGGCGGGTTCCCCCGCGGTCGTACGTCGTGGCGCAATCCTCAGTACGCACAGCGGTTCCCGCATCCGTATAGGAGGAATAATATGCATCGGGTAAGTTGAGACTGTAATTTTTTCATTGATATTTATAGGACAATTTTCAGAATAAAGCCTGTGCCGCCTATGGTCACCAACACTCATCAAAGCGGTTAGGAATGCATTGCCGGCCTTTTAGTTTGCCGAATCTGGCCCATTTGTACTGAAGTATGGCATACCGTATCGTATAAAATTACCCCGAAATGTTAATCTTACTTAATTGTACCTTTATTTACAGGGTAACTTCAATCAGCGACCATCATTCCCACCCCCGCAACTAAGACCCAGCCCCCCACATAACCGGCCTGAAATCCATCCCGAAATGAGACCCGAAATCCGCCCTGAAATGCGGCCTGACATCCGACCTGAGATTCGGCCTGAACTACGTCCCGATATAAGGCCAGATATGAGAATGGAACCTCCGAATCTCCCACCTATGGGGCCGGAGATATCTCCGGAACGTCCGTTATTGCCCCAGGACATGCCCCCAATGTACCGTCCACCCATGGAACGTCCACCATTCATGCCCCGATTCCAATTTAGGCCCCATATGGACGAGCGTCCTCAATTTGGGCCTGTGAGGCAGAATTTTGAGCCAAGGCCAGTGTTTTACAGGCCGGGCTTCCCACCGAGGCAGTTTGCTCCCCCTATGAGGGAGATTGTGCCTAACGCTAGTCATATGCCTCAAGTGACGATCAGGCAGGCGATGCCAATGGCGGGGCCAAGTATGGATAAAGTGATTAAAGAAGGTCCCAGGGAGCCTGAAGTAAGGATGTTACCGGTGCCTTTACCAGCGAATTTGCCTCCAAGAGGATTGGCCGGCAAGAAAGTGCTCATCAATCCACACTTTAAAGGGAATTTCCAGCCGCCTGTTGAAGGTAATTATAATATGTTTGTATTATAGGAGTTTTAAGTTTTGATAGTTACTGTTATACAGATTATTGGCTATGTGCGCGACGGTGGCGACGCGTAGCGTTTAAAATATTTGCCGAAGCTGTCAAATAATAACAACGTAAACATTATAATTTTCTTTGCAAATATAAATAAAACCAAAGATTAAAATAGTATTGTTGACATTATTTAACTGCAATTTGTTCAATAGTTTTACCGTAAAATGAATATAATAACACTTCCCTAAAAAGCGGGTTTGCATCATCCGCATTTGTTTCCAATTTCTGCCGTGTCGTGCGCTGCGGTCGTTGTCTGTCCGCCACTACTCGCTTTGCACATAACCAATATCGTTACTCGGAAGCAATTGGTTAGTTCCTCATCATCCTATCTTTATTGTGTTTCTCTCAGTTTACAGACTAATAGGGTAGATGACTAATTTTTATTTAAATGTCCACCTGGTAGGTTTCTTAATAACATTAGATACGTATTTTTTATTTTCTTACGGAAACTAATCGTTTCGAAGATATACTGATTTGAAATATCGCATGACATCACTTTTGAGTACGATTTATGCTCTAAAATGATGTAGCTACCTCCCACTACTAAACTTTGATTCGTTTTATCTAAGTATTGGTTTGTTATACGTCAATATAAAAAAATACGTGTCTAATATTTTTTCATTACCTAACTGACGGACTAATTAGATTTTTAATTATCATACACTGTCATCATCCCTATTGTAAGAACATCTAAATCGTGTTTAATTTCGAGTTTTAGGATCGGTATTAATATTTTCAACAATATAACGATGTTCCTACATCTACATAATATCTTAGTGATATACAATATTGCCATATATAAAAAATATTTAGTGAAATATTTTTTTTTCTGTACTGACGTGTAATAAATGTTGTTAGGGTTGCCAGTCTACATTCCAACAAGAATACAAAAGTCGCCGCCGCTCAGTCCTACGATTGAGAACAAATTCGGTAAATGCTAGCTTTATTAGTGTTTAGTGTTATTTCTGTATATTACCTATGTTTCGTATGTTGCATAGTGCATGTTCTTGTAGTTTTGTGGCTATATTAAATTTAGCGCCGATTTTTCATTATTTAAGTAGTAGTTAGTTCAACATGAAGTTACGAGAACAAAATCGAATAATGGAAGGTAAAACAAGTTTATATTACGGCGTACATTATAGTGGAGTCGACGAATGTCTTGTTGCCTATTGGTAGTTTTTAACGCATCATTATTTGTAAATAACTTCCATAACCAATTTTTCAATGCTCAAATAAATTTTAACTGAGGAATGACTTTGAACATTTGACAATTCTTCCATACTAAAAACTGTCAAATGTACATTTTTTTGCACAGTTAAGAATTATCTGATGATTGAATAATCGACCCTTAGTATGATTAAATTCAATTGGTTCTTATCGATTGTATTGTAAAGTTAATAGTTAAGTTTTAAAGTAAGTAGAAACTTAATCATCACTTATCTTAGAGTTAGAGGTACATACGAAATATGTAAATAAAGACTCGACATTGAGATTCTGATAGCACTATAATAATTATTTACATCAGTTTGCTACCATATAAATACGTATTTTTAAAGTCTATGTGTCGCTAAAGTAAATCAATAGAAATAGTGTCGGCGCTGTATGTTATGTATGTAACTATCTGTTATGTGCGCTAATAATACCACTTTTTCTGCACCATATACTATACACAGTGACATTTATTTCGTTTTCATCCCGCGGCAAAACAACTTGCCCCACATAAGGGGTACTTTCGATAAGTAAAAAAAAGAAATAAGTAGTATTTTTTTAGTTAAAAAAAAATCTATTTGAAACATGAAACGCTAGACGTATCTTTGTAGGAACTATTCGCATTGCACGTGCCACCCGACTAGGGTAGACGACTAATTTTTATTTTAATGTCCGTCTGATAGATTATTTAAAAACATTAGACACGTATTTTTTATTTTCTCACAGAAACGAATAGTTTCGAAGATATATTGATTTGAAATGTCGCGTGACGTCACTTCTCAGTACATTTTATACTAAGAAATGACGTTTTAGCCCCCACTCCTAAACTTTGATTCGTTTTATCTAAGTATTGTTTTATTATACGACAAAATAAAAAAATACGTGTCTAATATTTTTTCATTACCTAACTTACGGACTAATTATATTTTTAATTTTCATACCCTGTCATCATCCCCATTACGTATGGCGAGTTGTTTTGATCAAGTATTATGACTTCATATGCTCTTTCGAAGTTTGCTTTTTGCAATGGTTAACAAGTTATTTTTGGTTTTCAACGTTTTATTTCTTTGTCTTCTTCTTAGTCGTTCTCTTCATTACTGAAGGTCGCGTCTAGTTTGGTGCACGCGTCACTTGATGCACAACTCCTCCAAGCGCCCCAGTCCGCTGCGGTCTTTATAGTTTTTGGAACTGTCAGGGCGCTTACTCTTGAAACCAATTTCCAATGTCAATGCAATTTCAATCCACAATAAAATCTCAATGATTATTCAATGTCAACACTATACAACCACATTCGTAGCTGTTACTTAATAGCATTCAGAGTACGGAATATAAAGACAAACTCAATACCATTTAGTTCATTCGATATGCACACAGTCCGGATGCAATAGACGGTAGTGTTGCATCTCAAGAGTACGAAAAGTCGCATTCCCAATGTCGATCGATCGGTATTGGATTCAAGAGTAAGCCACCAGGTCTGTGGTTTTTTACAGTATCTAGCCAACGGGTAGATATCACGAGGTTTAATCCGGTTAACCTGACCAACCATTTCTTCGTAAAACTATGGTATTACCAAGACAGAACCATTTTACTTCGGGACGAAAACGATATAGATTTCACGGTGTATTATGTATCCTTGCTTTGTTTGTTAGTGTAAGTCACAACACACTTTAAAATAAGAGAAATAGAGACTAATTTATATATTGTTTGAAAGTAGCGTTGGTATGGCCAAATAGGGAAGTGAATATTTAGGTAATGAAAGGGGATGAAAGTCATGTGTTAAAGTGAAAGATGAATTTAAAGGTGAAGGAAGAAGGCGTCTACTGCCCAAATACTGAGAGGCTACTCAATTTGTACTGTCCCTACAAATTCTTTGTATAATGACAGAGATGGCACGATATTTAAGTACAATTGGACCCTGTTAAGCAGAAAAGTCCAGCCCTCATTTCATTACTTTCCAGTAAATGAAGTTTAAAGTAATCATATGACACAGTACCTATTCAATAGTACATACATACATAACATCACGCCTTTTATACCCGAAGGGGTAGGCACTTAATGCCACTGTACAATATAACACCCAATTTTCACTATTTATGTTATGAGTCCCATGTAATAGGGGGTGAGCCTATTGCCATATACCGGGCACAATTCCAGACTCCGTGCTACTACTGAGAATTTTTAAAGACCCAGTAATACTTTGCCCGACCCGGGAATCGAACCCGAGGCCCCTTGCCCGGCAGTCGCACTTGCGACCACTCGGCCAACGAGGCAGCCTATTCAATAGGTTTTATTATTAGCCCAACATTAAACTTCATTTACTCAAAAGTAATAAAATGTGGGTTGGATCTTTTCTGCTTAACAGGATCCCCTGTTTTTTTTTTTTAAAATTGAGTAGTCTGTCAGTATTCGAGCGTAAATAAAATATGAATGCATTGTATGAGCAATCATATGAAATAACAAATGAGAGTTTGCGACGGCGTGTATTTGATTCCTAGACGGAACAAATGATCTAATACACAAATCGTTCGGGGTCTCGGCATAGTATAAAGAACAAAGTAGGTTATCTTCATACAAATGCTCCGCGCGCGGCTTATATGTGTGCGCCATAGTATCTATGCGTCGACGCACGCACACTTTAACAAAATCTCGACCCGTTTCTCAGTGCGCCAGGCAGGGCTAACACTGCACGAGGTTCGCGCGCGCATCACTTTTCGGCACTGTTAAATGAAATAAAAAATGTCTGATAACCGTAGAAGAACGTATTACTGTGTGTTTGGGTGTCTTAATAATTAATCGATTCCAGAACTGTCTCTGTTCAGATTACCTATTGAACAGGAAAGGTAAGCTAGTCACTTTTTCTAGCATAATATAATTTGTAGGTACTTGATGATGAGATACCTACTTACTTATTCTTACTCTTATCATTCTTCATAGTTCCTACTCAACCAGAAATGTAATTACCTACTATACTTAAATATTATAAGAAAATGTGGTATTGTATTGTTTATTTCACAGTTCATCTGATTTGTTAAGAGCGTGGCCGTGTCGCATTTTTCCATATAAATGTATTCCAAAATTTACTTTCTGAATACTATGTATGGAGCTAAAGTTTATTTTAAGAAGTTAAACTGTCAAACACCAAGCGGTCACCGGTGACCGCGACCTATTGTTCTTTAATTGTGTCTATAAAAATAACCTTTTTATTTTTACTAAATTTATAAATTGATAAAATATTCAATCATAATATGCTTTTCATTTCATAAATTTAGATCAAGTGCTGCTTGTTCGAAAATATTAACTAAAAGTAAAAGTGACAACCCTGGGGATCAACGCAAGAGTAGGCTAATAACTCGGCGGGCGGCCTTAGATAACCTACTGTGTGTTCTTTATACTATGGTCTCGGTACCTTGAATTTGTTTGCAAATACACAAATATATGTCTAAAAATAAATATTATGTAAGAAATGCGTAATTGTGTTAAAATTACCACAAATTACTTGCGATGGAGTTAGAAAGACTAATGTCTGTTTGTATTATTGTGCAGGACCAGTGAAAGATATAGATGACGCAGCGGAGAGGTTCATTGCGGAGCAGCGCAATGCTCTAGCCAGGGCCGCTGTTAGGAAGTACTCGAGGAGGTCACCGCCACAGAGGTAAGGCTACAATAACTTCTCAGCCAGATTGCAGTTATAGAAATGTCACACATAACAATGGTTAACATAACATCACGCCTTTTATCCCCGAAGGGGTAGGCAGACGTGCACACAGAAGTAACACCCACTTTCCACTATTTATGTTATGAGTCCCATGTAATAGGGGTGAGCCTATTGCCATATACCAGACACAATTCCAGAGTCCGTGCTACTAATGAGTTTTTTTTAAAAACCCAGTAGTACTTTGCCCAACCTGGGAATCGAACCCGAGACCTCTTGCCTTGCCCCTTGCAACCACTCGGCCAACGTGGCAGTCAGTCAACAATGGTAACTACTGAAAATTGGCGCTATTCAAGTTCATTTTTGAAATCCAAACCAAAATTTACTCACTTTCATAGACTGCTACATGCATGAGCTATGACATTCAAACGTCAGTCTAACGAGTAAATAGAAAATTCAATATAATGAGATTGACTTGATATTGACTAGCGTATGTATGTCAAGACAAATATTTATTAGTCACCTCTCAACGTAAGAACGTATAAGGTCATTGCTCTCGTTTGGGGATCGAGGTGGACTGAGGTTTTGAAACCACATCGGTTTCCTGCGAGGCCATGTTTTTTCCTCTAATGGGATTTGTTTTTTTTTTATGAGATAAGCCTAACAACAAGAAGACGGATCGTCTGATGGTAAGCAATCGGCGTCGCCCATGGACACCTGAAACACCGGAGGCGTTACAAGGACGTTAACAGCCTGTTGGGGATTAGGGATTTACGGATTGTTGGGGATTCAGGGATTGAGAAGGGCTTCCGGTAACCTCATTCACACGACGGAGCACAACGCTGTTTCAATATAGTTTTCTGTTTGTTGATGGTATCTCTTCGATCGAGTCGGCCCAGCAGTGCCGAAGCATGGCTCTCCCACACTTGTTCTGAAGCATGGCTCTAACAAAAGTTTAGATTTTTAATGCTGCTTCTAATTTGTTACAGATACATAGAAAACACGACGATAGAGATAGAGAACGAGCTGGCGGCCGGCGGCAGACGTCGCAGTCACGACGATGATGACTTGTTGAGGAGGCAGGAGGAGTTCATTAATGCTAACCGAGCTGGACTTCGGAGGAGGTAGGGCACTATGATCTGTTTTAACACTTACATGTACAGTCAAAGGTCAAAAGTCCACTGCCACCGTGAGTGATGTACACGGCAATGCGTAAGTAATTTCATATTAATGTGCATAAACACGCGTGCGTACGCATACACACACGCACGCGTACGCACACGGATACAAATATGCGCGTGCATGGGGGTATAGGGCAGGGATGGCGAACCATTGGCACGCGTGCCGTTGATGGCACGGAACACAACATTTTGGGCACGACAGTGACTACAAAACTAATGAATGATCAGAAACCTACAACGCATTTGTGGTGTCTCGAATATTGCTGGTGTACTCAGACTGCGGTGACAGCTTACCAGGTCAACTTTATACATTATTGCTACAGATTGACAGTAAATATCAGTAGATGGCACACATAAAACCGTAAAATACTTTTCTTCAAATTAATTGGCACGCTAATGTGAAAAGGTTCGCCTTCCCTGGTATAGGGGATAGTAGTCTTACGGTGGACTTTTGTCCTTTGACCGTACAGTCAGTCATAACTATTTCTTCTCTAATGATATCTTCTTCATTAATTTCGTTGCGGGGTTCAATGTAGTTTGTTCATGTTTATGGGACGTCCTGGATTATAGTGTTTCAGTGTTTGCATGAACAATCATGTATCTACTGTACATTCTGAGGCTCAGGAGTAGCAGCTATTTTAGGAGGTAGGATTGTCTCTAAAGAAAATACAGTCAAACTATTCGAAATGCAGCTAAGAAAATAAAAATTAGTCCGGTATAGATAACTGTAACTATTGGGCGGTAATTCAATTGACTAATGGTAACAAGAGCTTGGGGTTCGTTTTTCTCTAATAGAAAGTTTTTAGTCAATATGAATTACCATGAGATAGAACAGTGTCTTCGAGGTTTCGCTTGATACCTATTGTACCTTTATTACACACAGTACACACAACAAATACACACTAATACACTTGCACAGACTTCACACATTCATCCCATTTTCTCACATTTTCATTTAATATTGTATATTACAGTAATCATGCAGGTTCTTTTCGTAAACAGGTGCTAAACGGATTATGTTTGATAGCCGCGATACAGGCTATGCCTAGTGCGGTTTTCACAGCTCAAATTGTAAAATTATAACTGGTTTATGAATAAATTATTTCTTATTTCTAATGAGAGAAAAACCGTTGAAGACAAATCCTCCCATGTGGCCCAGGCCTTATTTAGTATGCCGATGGTATAGATATGAAGTTAACCATACCGTATTGTTCCAGAATGCGGTCTCCGTCCCCGGTCCGTCGCTCAGTGTCCCCGCGCCGCTCGCCCGAGCGCAGACCTCGACCCGACACTGCCAGGCACTCGGATGAGGTAAGGATTAGGATACACTGTTACATTATACTTGTACAGGCATAAAAAATAGTTTTAATTAAATATGTATTGGCTATCACCTTTATTGAGTTCAATATGTACTAATTAAACATATTTGATAGATAGGAATAAATTGAAAATTGTGCAGGGATGTGGAACGAAAGCCGTTTGCTTGTATACCTACCATAAAAAAGTTTTAATCGGGTACTTGCCAACTAGTCAAATTCAATACTTATTTCGAACTGTTAAAACGACAGTTTTCTATGAATTTTGTACGAGATTGTGTATTGTGACGCCATGTTTTTTTAGCGTCAAACAGCATATTAATTTCTTAAAAAATCGCTGGAAAAATACTAAAATAAAGTTGGTCATAAAATCAATCAATGAAAGTGTGATTATTTTTTCCTATTTTATTGTATTGAACAGTCGGATTGAACATATATTTTTTTAATAATAACTTAAATGGACATTACCTATATTTACATTGTTTTAATCATCTTGGATGTTCTCAAAACTGATCCATATTATTCCAATTGTCTCCCTTTCAGGACAGTGAATACAAACGTCGCCTTCGTGAACAGGAAAGTTTACGCGAGCGAGTGCTTCGCGCCAAGGAGGTACGACGCAGGAAGAATGCTCTACAGAGGATACATGGGGACCGGTGTGTATTCCATATAACTTATATAACTATTCTAGTCAACAATCATATACTAAATACATAAATCCACGTTTATTTTTCTGTATTTATTAAGTAAACGGTAAATAGAGTTTTTTAAGTAAATTATTCACAACGGAAGTGAAGTTTGCATGGCAATAGGAGGTAGTGTTTATTTAGTAGTACAAATGTAGGAAGATGGTTTTTGTAATTGACAAATGTTTATTGCACCCGCAGAGAAATAAGTATACATTGTAATAGTAATTTGAGTACAATGGGCGGTCTATACCACGCGGCGAGTTCTTCTCGACAACTTTTGGATGGAATTGTAAAGGGAGAAAGCAAAAATAGAAGTGAGAAATGGTGTGACACTAGCTAATTCTCTATTGGTCGAAAGACTAGAGGTTCATTAGCGCCATGTGGTAAATAAATTCGGTAGCCTCTAATTAAATTTTCTTTTATTGAGTTTCGTACCAAAAAACTTAATCATTTCATAGAATATTTATTATCACATTGAAATTGACCTTCACACATAACATAACATCACGCCTTTTATCCTCAAAGGGATAGGCAGAGGTGCACATTATACCACTGTACAATGGAACACCCACTTTTCACTATTTATGTTATGAGTCCCATGTTATAGGGGGTGAGCCTATTGCCATATACCGGGCACAGTTCCAGACTCCGTGCTACTACTGAGAATTTTTAAAAACCTAGTTGTACTTTGCCCGACCCGGGAATCGAACCCGAGACCCCTTACCCGGCAGTCGCAAATGCGACCACTCGGCCAACGAGACAGTCAATTGACCTTCAAATTCTAAAAATCGGCACTTCAAATAACCTTTTTTTTTCTTTTATAATTATTTGAAATGTATAACGGCTTGGTTTTTGACTGTAATGTTATACTATTTAATTGAAATAAATAGATGAATAAATAAATAAATAACCAACCGCTCTTTAATCAACAGTGAGCGTGAAAATCAAGAAAAGGAAGCTTTACTCAAGACCCCGGAGCAGGCCGCGCCACCCGCAGCGGACCCCGCATCGGACCCGGCGTCCCACGCGGCGGCCCAGCCCGCGGCCCCGCCGGCCCCCGTGGCGGCCCCGGCGCGGCCCGACACGACGCGCGACAGCCCGCCGCCGGCGGCCGGGAACACGGCGGCCGCCAAGGAGGAGCCCGAAGTTAATTCTACTTGTGGTCAGTTGCTTTTTTAACGTTGCCTCTGCCTACCCCTTCGGGACTAAGAGGCGTGATGTTATATTATATGTTTATAAAATAATTATTTCATTCAGTATGCAAACAAGCAAATATCAATAATATTGTCTCCCCCAGAAGCCCTGACCCCCCCTACGGGCGAGGTCCGCGAGGCCCTGACCCCTCCCCTGCCGGGCCGGCGCGGGGACAGCGACGACGACCTCGACCTCATCCTCGGGGACATCGACGGGATACTCTCCGACGATGACGACTCTGGACGGTTCAAGGATAACTCTAACAAGTATGTATACTGCTTTATACTCGTATTCTAAGTTATCTGTGGTTAGAGTAATGTGGTTTCTTGGATGAACTCCAAAAAAGGACAGGTTTTTCTATATTTGTTCGCTTATTTTTTCTACCGATTAGACAGACTGACAATTAAAAAAATTAAAAATGCCTACTTAAGCCTGCTCTGCTACCTGCCTCTAATTGAAATAAAAACTTTGACTTCGACGTCATCCAATCTATACAATCTGCTGTCTAGTCTTTTTATTCTTCCACGCATATAAGAAAAAGAAAACACAGATTAAAAACTCCTTGCTACGAATTACAAAAGCTTTCGAATAAAAACAAGCGTTAATTACAATGCGCAAAGAAAACCGATAAAGAAACCTTAACCAATACGTTTAAAACATAGTACCTACAATAAAATATTAACTTCTTTCCCTCCAGACCAGAGCCCCAGAAGTCGAAGCCTCAAATAGACCTCCGTACGAAGCTCCCTCCCAAGTCTAGCAGTGAACAGAAGAAGCAACAACGACAGAAGATTGTGTTCACTGACGACAGAGACGAGAAACCCAAGAAAAAAGGTTTGTACAATTAAATACATTTATTTGTCATCCCAAAGGTGTCGAACATCAGACTAAAGAAGACTATTTGACACCGACAAGGCAACAGTGTTTTCTAATACAGGTTTTTTTGAAGAGGGAAAAGCATCCAATAACTTCTCCCGCCTTAGGTGAGGCGAGAGAAAGTGTTAGACTCTTACTGACTAAATACCATCCCATTCCTATGCCTGCTTTAATCTGGAGCCACGGCAACCCATTATGTTGTTAACTCCGGATTACTAATAATCCTGAACCTTTTAAATTGTTATCGCTAACCCGTAAGCTAAGCTTGGAGATTTTTTTTAGAAACGTCCCTTGCTAGGGTTTTCTCCTGTCATGAGTGCGTTTACAAACATACGAGTTTATATACACATGACACTCAGACCCGGAACAACAATTTGTGGGTCACACAAAGAGTTGCTTTTTGCGGGGATAGAACCCGCGACACGTTGCGCGGCAGCCGTTTGCCTAGCCACTGCACCAACCGTGCAGTCATTATGTTAGATTATGCCAAATTTGTAAGCCTCTTCAACATACCTAATTACACCACCCCTGTCCCCCTTTTTTTATTTGATTGGCCGACGTTTGACCACTATCTCGCCTGGTGGTAAGCAATGATGCGGTCTACGATGGAGCACGTCGTCCCATAAGCAACCTATCCACTCGGGCCTTGAAAACACCCAGGTTATACCCTCCAGGAAATACCACCATGAATTGGTGACGCTTCGCCGATTGTCTGGTGGTATGATTTCTTAAATCTCTGAATCCGGAATGCCGGTAACGCACTTGTAACGCCACTGGTGTTCCGGGTGTCCATGGTCGACGCTGTTTGCTTACCGTCAGTTGATTGATACGTCTGCTCGTTTACCTTAGCCCATAAAAAGAACATACGTTGATGGTGGATTATACTCATATATTTCATGTTGTTACAGATAAATCTCCCCCACGCCGAGCTGTAGTGACTAGCTCGACGGTCACAGATGATTTTGAACCAGAAGTCAAAAAACTAAAGGTATGTAGCAAATACTGTTGTAAAAATCTTGATAATTTGTTTGCAATTTTCTATCGTAACTATCACTATCATATCAAAGTTTCTACACGTAAATTGTCAATGAATGGGTGGTATTTAATACTTTAACTGTAAATTCCCTTTTTTCAATCAAAATATTCGAAATTACCACCAAAAATACTGAATTGCACACTAAATTTGGTCATCAATTAAATCAGTTATACTATCTAATAATTCATAACCTAACCCAACCTAACCTATTTTGAAAATTCCGTTGTAATATTGAACAAGTTGTGTGCAAATCAGTATTTTTGTTTTACGATGTGATATGTTTTTGTAATATGTAGATAATTTGTACTACAGTCATTTTTTTGATATGCAGTAGGTTATTAGTGGAGAAATTTGGTTTGCTTAAATTTCTAAATAAGAGGTGCAGTAAAAAATTCCCCTCATTAAAATTGTTTTAGTTAGTGTCAATACTTACGTTAATTCAATAATGTTTGTTTTTACAGGTAAAACCTAAGCAAGACTCAATTCCTGCTAAATCTAGACAGAGGATAACTTATGAGAAAGAGGTAAGTTTTGTTAAAATAAAACAACAATTACGGATCCACATAGATTTATTCTGCTTACTAGCGAGTTTATGAAATATCAAGTGTATGGCTCATTATGTCAAGAGACAACTCAAAAAATGTAATTTTAAGTCACATTTGAGACTCAATAACTGACTTGGCCGCACGGTTGGCGCGTCATTCATATTTTTGTCATCTCGCAAGTATTCGATACTCACGCGACATCGTCTAAACAATCAATATTTGTCAACAGCAAGCCGACAAAGAGAAAGACGAGGATAAAAAATCGAGCTTCTCGAACCGACGAGTAATACTACAGAGGAAATCACCAAAGGAGAAATCAGTATTTTCCCGCATCGAGGTCAAAGCGGACGTATCTCACCCCGGCGCGGGAATATTCAGCCGCGCGGTCCGGACCGCCATCAACCCGGACCCTCGCCCCGCACAGACCACTCAGTCCCGCGAGCCCGCCGTCCACGTGGACGAGGACTCGGAGGACGAGGACGAGGTCCAGTCCTCCGCTTCCACGGCCCGGGTATCGAACCTGCCCCCCGGGATCACGGACACCCGCCTCAGAACGCTGGCCGGCAATGAGCTACAGGTAACTTCTATAGGGTTCCTTTATCATTGTTTTTATCTTTTGAAGATGGTGGTTCGAATGGTAGCGTTAAACATTACTATTTCACAGAAAGTAGGCCTGGATATTAAGTCCAATGTTATTGTTAGTACTTTTTGTACATCAATGTTGCGTTAGGAAGTCCCTAAGTCTAGTAAACAATATCTCCTTGCTATGTAGTACCGACAGTTCTTACTATACTGGACTGGAAAAGAATTTTGTGAGACAATCCGCCTAATGTTGTAGTTCTCTTATGGAACTTACTAAAATATGCGATGATTTTGAAATGTTTTAATTACACGAGAATGTTCGTGAGTTCATTAAAGGGACTGTCGATGTATTTGTATACATAAATATAAGAAAGGCATGGGATATAAATTCAATTATTAATGAGAACTGGTTCGATTTCCAGTTTTAATTAAGACTGATATTAGTAATTATTAGGTTAAAAGTGTTGGCTGTAACTTTAGATTGCGCTAAGTTGCGCAAAATGTATGCATATGATGCGCAAAATGACGATGAAAGTTTTTATTGCGCAAATTTGGTTTGTACAAGATTGCATTTGGTATTTTTAATAAATGCAATTGACACGTGGACGTCAAATAATTTATTTATATTTGACTATGGTTTTAGGTGAATTAAAATTCACCTAAAACCATAGTCAATCACATACCCACATGGCAATTAAGTAGGTATAAATACCTACTTAATTGCCATGTGGGTATGTGATTAGGATATTCAAATATTTTACGTTTTGTTGTAGAAGTACTAGTATTTATATTTGTAAATGAATCCACTCGAACCACCAATTGTGTGATATTGTTTATTCACCGTGATATGGAAGTGTGATATTTATTTATATGTACATACATTATATTATTGCATAGACGTACACTGTAGTACACTATTTTATATCATTATTTTACTAGTTATATTAATTAATAGTTATATGCAGGCTTATTAATTTTAAAATTCATTTATTAATTACGACCCGCCCCGGCTTCGCACGGATGCAATATGCATGTATTATACAAAGAACTTCCTTAAGAATCACTCTATCTATTAAAAAAATCCGTTGCGTAGTTTTAAAGATCTAAGCATACATAGGGACAGACAGACGGTGGATAGCGACTTTGTTTTATACTATGTAGTGATAAACATACGTAACATCTTAAATAACACTTTTATATGCTATGTTACTTTTGTTTTTGAAAAACGTTGTCCCATTCTAGAAAGTTTTCCTGTGTCGTGGGTGCGTTTACAAACATATAATTTCACATACGCATGACACACAGACCCGAAACAACAATCTGTGGGCCAGTCAAAGAGTACGAATCCGCTTCACGTCGTATGGCAACCGGTTGGCCAGCCACCACATTGACCGTGCTGCCAATTGTCTATAAAATATTCCTTTTTCCTTTTAAGATTAATTCTTTATAGAACAACAAGGGATATTGTTGCCATCATAACTTAGTTTCTTATTTGATTATTTCTAGTAGGAATTTACATACTTATGCTGACATAAACAAGGTTTGTTTTATCGATAAAATGGCTCATAGACCTTGTGCTATTTAGATTTTAAACTTTTTATCAGATTATGAGATTGATAAAACCGAAATCTTTATAATTGAAATCAATTAAGTACCCTGCCTTGGAACCTATGAATAGGAACTTAACACACACTGATATATTTTTTATACCATGACGGTGGCAAATCACACAGCCCACCTAATGGTAAGTGGTTACCGTGACCTATGTACGCTTACATGGGGCATTACATGCACCTTGCCGACCCTTAATAAACCTATTTACTCCTTCCTCGAAGAACCCCATATTGTAGCCTACCGGGAAAACCTGGGCAGGGAGTTCATTTCACAATCTTTAGGAGAAAATTCCTTGATATTGTTTATAATGTTCAATTTACTCACATTTCATGACTTTAAAGCATATGCTAGTGAAGTGTGTTATATTTAAGGTGGCGAGGGACTCACTGATGTGACATTATAATATAAAAAAAATATGATTTGGGATCTTTTTCTAGTATTTTGTCAGAACCTTTAAGCAATACAGCACGATCTATTGTAAGGATGTTGCAACAGCGACCCGTTGGTATTTGATATTTCTAATTAACTTTTAGTTAATTTAAAATGTTTTATATAGATAAGTTTGACCTACGATGGGGCTGACGTAGCCCCATTAAAAGCCCATAAAAATGACTTTAAAGAAAAATAGAAACATTATTTTACCAACGTTATTCAGAGGAATGTTGGAAATAATAAAATTTTATATCTGTCTCATTTTTATTTTTTAAATTAAACAAAACTGAAATTAGAACATTAACACCAGAATACTTAAAGGCTAGTTCTGTCTCTACAAATTCTTTGTATAAAGACAGAGATGACACGATATTTAAGTACAAGTTGAAATTGAGGAGTCTGTCAGTATTCGGACTTTAAGTAATGAGAATTAGTAAGCCTGTATATATATTTTCTAAGTTTCGTTACATTTGTCGTATTTATATACATGTACTAATGTTTGTAAGCTATTATTTTGATCAAAAAGTTTTAAATAAAGCCGTTTCATTTACGACAAGTGTGATTGGCTTAGTAAAAAATTTTATAAAATAATATTATGAATTTTTGGTCTGAGGTACACATATTGTACTGACGTATATTTTTTATATTTTACCAAATGTTTGTTACGTATTTCACTCTTATACGGGGTGATGTTTACTATGTTATCACAACAGGGTGTTGTTAAATTGACACCTATATACTTTTTATATAGGTGTTTAATAAGAAATGATTTGTATCAAATCTAATATAAATGTTTGTCCATTATATGGCCAATGTTGGCTTATGTTACTCACGATAATGACAGTTTTTCTATACGTTAATTAGCGTATACGGTGTTCATATATTTCGGAAATGTCATAAGTAATTTCGTTCGAACTCGAAACTTTTCGGACTTTTCCGAAATAAAGGTGTCAAACCGTAAATGCTAATTAACTAATTTATAAATAAACGTGATCTTTATATATGTTACAAAACAGATCATGTTATGTGTTTAAAACATAATCATATGAAATGATATTATTGATATGTATTTGTATTTTAAATATAATGCATGTGTTGTGCTATTTATATATAGTGGTGTCATATTTTATATGAATAATACAATTTTAATAATTATAAAACTACGAGCCTTAATAGAGGACGTGAGCTTCGTTTAATTATCGAATAACAGTTTTTTTGGAAAATATAGATATTTTGGAGTTTAAATGTAGCTGTTACATTTTAATGTGTGAGACCATACCATATTATAAAACTCACCATCTAAAATAATAGAAAATGGCTACAGAAAATATGATGCCAAGTTCTTTTTTTTATTTAGGCATAGTATATGATTTTTATTTATTCACTAGCGATCCGCCCCGGCTTCGCACGGGTGCAATATGTACTTATGTGTATTATACATAAAACCTTTCTTAAGTATCATTCTATCTATTAAAAAAACTGCATCAAAATCCGGTGCGTAGTTTTAAAGATCTAAGCATATATAGGGACAGACAGACGGAGGATAGCGACTTTGTTTTATACTATGTAGTGATTTATTTAACCCTTTGAGTACCGTCATTATAGATACAATTAACTCTCTGAGTACCGTCATTATAGACACAGTTAAAGAACAATAGGTTGCGGTCACCGGTGTCCTCGCGGTGTTTGACAGTTTAATGTGCTTTATGCACAAAATGTACAAAAGTGGACTTTAATGCCGCAGGCATTTGCAACCAGTCTGACCTATGTTGGTGTCTTTGTCCGCTCAAACATTAATTTGAAGCCATTTGTTAATCGATTTATACGAGTATATCGTGATAAATACTATATTTTTTTATTTACCAGCTTCTACACGTGATTTCGTACGCGCAATCCCGATCCCATAGATTTTCAGGATTTTTCTATCATAAGAACCTTCTCCCGACTATAACAAACACAACCGAAAGTAAAATCAGCCAAATCGGTCTAGCCGTTTTCAAATTATGGCGTGACAACGGGAACGAGTTTCATTTTTATATATATAGATTATTAATTCATTCATCACTTGATGGTAATTTAAAATTAGATAGTCATTATAGTTGAAAGTTAAAATCAGTTCTTATGTCCTCAGTAATATGATTAGTTTTCCAACAGCCAAGTATTAAAATTGTATTATTCACAAATAAAATAAGAAAAGTGTTAAGTGATTGTATTTAAGCATAAATTAATATGTAAAGAAAGACTTATGTTTTAGCTATAAGTTCATCACACTATGTAATGCATTTAACATAATATGTTTGTATGTCTGTTCATAAAGTGTACCATGTATGTATATTACTTAACATTTTTCATATTTTCCAAGACAGCTTTGTACAAAAACTTAGTTTTTTAAGGACAAAAGGATACAAAACCAAACAATCGTCGAATTAATGTTCCAGAGTTTAATATTGGATAAAGAAGACCGTACAGCGAAGATTGTATTCAAATCGTCGGCCGCAGCTGAAAACTTCAAAAAGAAATTTAATAACAAGATGGTTGCCGCTAGCCGTCTAACTGTCACTTTACATTGAACTTTAAAAACTATAGAATAGAACCCATATTGCATTGTCTAACGTTTGAACAGTAAAATAGAACTCATTTTACGTTACATTATTTCATAATCAACTTTATAACCATTGGTTAGAGTAGAATTTTAAACGAAATGTTTGTACTAAGTATAGGGTGTTATTTGGATATTGCTACAGGATGTTCGGAAATTTGTGACCTTTGTTTATAATGTTATATGTTATTACGTACTTAGATTTTTAGTCTTTAAATTGGGAAAACTTGATTTTTAACCAAAATTTGTTTTTGTATAATCAAAAAATTTTGACTGAATTTGATTTAGTTAATGAAAATAACTGGATTATGCTTTTCAAAATGTCAAGTTTATCTTCATAGTGAATTTTTGGCCTGCTTGAATTAAAATATATTGTGATTCTTATTACTATGTGAATTGAGTACATTTCAATGCTTTTGAGACGGCTTCGGCATGGTAATGGCGAAGGATATCGAATTTATTGAAATAAGTACTTTATGCGGCGGTAATAAATCTCATAATAT